CTGTGGTCCTTTAATCAGATGGTCTCAGAGGGTAGCCGTGTTGGTCTGCAGTGGAACAGCCCGGTTCGAGTCCAGCAGCACCTTAGAGACCAACTAGATTTGGGGAGGGGGGGGGGATAAGCGTTCAAGAGTCATGGCACCCTTTGTCGGATACGAATAGGAATGGAGATTCCCGAGTCCTTATATCCCAATCTAAAGGTGAGAGGTGTGTTGCAAATAAGGAGTCAAGATGCAGATGATGTCTTTTTTACTGAAATACTAAGATGCATTCTCTATGACTAAGGATGCTTGCATTTGTTTGAACTAGTAATACTAGTAGTTAATCTCAATTTCTTGAAAAAACTAAACAATAGGGGGAAACACCAAGAAGTTGATGTATAAATGTTATATGATCCTTGCTAACTCTGTATTTTAGTTTAGAAGATCCCCTACCTTTATTCCCTGTAGTGTGTAGAGACTAAAAGCAATAAAAAATGTTTTTTTTAAAAAGTGTAAGGCAGCTATGCAAAATGAAAGCGGGATTAGAGCAGATGGGAAAGGCCAAGGGGCAGAAAACTGGCCCCTGTCGTGAGATAAGAATCCTGTGTCCCTGTTCAGCCTTGAGGGTTGCATTGTTCTGAATTTGTGAATGAACTCAGATTCAGCAATCTCACATTGTAATCTCCCTTTGTAGAACAGCACTTTTCTGGACTTTATATTGCATTTATTTGTTTGCACAATTTGAATCAAAGTCCTTTTTTTAACTTCCAAGATTTCTTGCTTAACTGAGTCTAGCATGTACAGAGGCTTTGCTTTATAACCAATGACATCTTAGGGTTGGCTGTGCGTTCTCGATCTGTGGGTATCACTTTTGGATTTCCTTGCAGATTCTCTCTGTCTGCTACGCAAGGCATAAGATGGTGTTATCCATATCTCTGTAATGAGCAAAACTGTCTTTGGAAACAGTGAACTATGAATTTGACTGGAATTCACTTGTGTCCAGACAGTCAGCAAAGGTCGCCAGATGGTCTCCACTAAATGCTGTGTTTGAGGGGGTTGGGCGGGAGAACACTACCTTACACTTTGCAATCATATAACTTCCAGAGTTTAATAGCAAATTTGTTTTGGTAAACTAAGAATGTCCTCCTTAAAACTTAAGCAAGGCACACCATGCGATAATTGGGTTTTAAATAGCAGCTTTGATAGAATTTGTTTCTTACGACATTGGGAGTCAGAGAGAGGGTTGGAGGTGATCAATTTATTGGACACTTTTTGTGCTGTGGTCACAGGTCACATGCAGTGTCTCTGTACTGTAACAATGCATGTGCATATACACTCCAGCTTTCATCTGAATTTACCCCCGAAGACCAAGTGAAAAATAACGAATTTAAGAACATAAGAACATAAGAGATGCCAATGTTGGATCAGGCCAAAGGCCCATCCAGTCCAACACTCTGTATCACACAGTGGCCAGAAATACCAGTGCCATCAGGAGGTCCACCAGTGGGGCCAGGACATTAGAAGCCATCCCACTGTTGACCCCCCAAAGCACCAAGATGACAGAGCATCACTTGCCCCAGAGTCCCTATCTATACCTTGTGGCTAATAGCCACTGATGGACCTCTGCTCCATATGCTTATCTAATTCCCTTTTGAAGCCGTCCATGCTTGTAGCCACCACCACTTCCTGTGGCAGTGAATTCCAAGTGTTAATCACTCTTTGGGTGAAGAAGGACGTCCTAGGTCACATGCAGTGTCTCTGTACTGTAACAATGCATGTGCATATACACTCCAGCTTTCATCTGAATTTACCCCCGAAGACCAAGTAAAAAATAACAAATTTGTGAAATGTCAGCATGAATGTTCATATGTGAATGATCATTGTGGACTCATAGGTATGGAATTTGATTCCTGTGTGTTTACTTGGCCAAACTGTGAGGCGTTGAGCTCCTGCGGGCTGCATCAGGGCAGGTTCTGCTTTTAACAGTTTATAATGTGAAGCTTTACTCCCCCTAGAGGTGTAACGCACCCTCTGAGCAGTCCTGCAAATGACCGCAGTCAGTGCACCATACAGACATTGCTTTATTTATATCAGAGATTTCAATTAGTGTCCATGCCACAGTGGTTTAAGCATTCACCACTGTGCCTTCTTGCCGCGGTGGATGTCAGGAGATTAATCTGAAACGGTATTACAGGTCCCCAGAAAAAGACACAGAAAGAGGAGAGCACAAGTGACCCTTACTTGATGCAAATGCACAGTCCTCTGCGGGGACCAGTGCTGGCTGGTTGTTAGCAATATCCTTCAGTAGAGATACTGATGTCTTATTGTGCTGAATTTTCTGCTGCCTGCTAGAGCCCTTGTTGAAAATGTCCCTGGAAGATCTGCGGGAATTCCTGCAAGAGAAAACTGCTGCCTCCTTGCAGTTTGAAGATGATGCAGTAATTGAGGAACTGCAAGCATCTATGGCTGAACTACGTAAAATGAAATTTGATCTTCCACCCCCAGGTAAGTAGTGGCATAGCTGCCCGTGCAGCTTGTTCTTTTAACGGCGTGCAGTGAAGCTTCGCTTTAACTCCTCCTCTGTATGAATGAGCCTGCTTCCCAAACTTAACTCAAGACAAAATAGCCAAGTATAAGGAAAAATCCAATACCCGCAAAATGAGGCATACTACAGGTCAGTAGTTACTGGAGAAAAAACTTTAACTTCTGTACATGCCTGTTAGCCATCCTGAACTGCAGGCTATGGAAGGTCAGTAGTTCAGCAGTTCGAGACCCGGGTGCCGCATGATGGAGTGAGCTCCCATCTCTAGTTCCAGCTCCTGCCAACCTAGCAGTTCGAAAGCAAGAAATTGCAAGTAGATAAATAGGGACCACTTCGGTGGGAAGGTAACAGAGTTCCGTGCGCCTTGGTGTTTAGTCATGCTGGCCACATGACCACGGAAACGTCTTCGGACCGCGCTGGCTCTTCGGCTTTGAAACGGAGATGAGCACTGCAACCCTAGAGTTGGACTCGACTGGCTTTCGAGCAAGGGAACCTTTACCTTTACTATGTCTGTCCTACATCCCTTGCAAAAAAAACCCCATACTATAGCTTGCTTCAGCCCTTGTTGTAAAGAAAGGATACAGAAGCATTTGAAACGTATTGACTGTGCACCACCAAACACTTGTGCATCATCAGAGCAGTTTGTGATATCACGGTATCTGGGTGGCACATAAATATTTGGGCGCATCTGGATTTCTGAAAAGGCACCCCCAGGACTATAGTTCTGTGAGGATCCTTGGGGTCCCTGACATGGGATGCTTGCTGCAACTTCAATCATACAGTTTCTAGGCTCCTTGGGGGAAGCCATGTCAGTTTACATTTTTACTACAAATATAAAGCATTCTCAAACAAGACATGTAGAAGCCCTACTGATAATAGTCACATACGTGTGTGAATGCTAATGCATGGGAGAAACCAGAATAGAGACTTTTAAGCTCAAACATGTGTTCTAACCAATGTGGGTAAAAAGTACAAGTACCTCTTTCCTGTGTGCATTTGAGAAAAAAGTGTGTCTAAATATAGAAACAAAGAGATTAGAGATTATTGTTAGGGATTCGTGTAGACTTTAGTTTGATTCCCCCCCCCCCATATCTGTCAGAAGAGGAGAATTCTTGTTTCTCCTCCTGAAATCAATTGGCAGACACGCTGCTTTAGAGGCTCATCTTGCCTAGACACTCCTTAAATTGTACTAAGCAGAGTTTGGGTCCCATCCAGTTGCCCATCCTGATTACACTGGGCTTGAAAATAAGAGGCTAATGCATTTGTATGTGCGCTTTCTCATTACAGCAAAATCTGAAGAATTTCCCAAGAAACCGCTGGGACTGGAGTTCTCTCTCAATCTAGTCTCAGTAAAGCCCAGTGTTGGAGGTAAAGGCCAGAAGAAGGCTGCCAATGATCTTGACCATGAAAAAGATGCTGTCATACGACTTTCTCCAGATAGAAGTCCTCCTAACCTGACCGAAACGTTCAATAATTCAAACTTGGCAATACATAAGAGAGCCTTGATTCCACAGCCCAGCGGACCATTGCTGCAAGTCGAACTAACTGACGTATACCACAATCCGTTCCAGAATAACCAACCCATCCCTAACTCTGATATGGAGGGAAAACGGCAAGAAAACAGGGTGCAATTGCTAAAGGAGGATGCCAAGAAAATCCCATCTGAAGGTTTCCCAGCAACACTGGACGAGATTCAGGTTATTGTCGAAAGTCAAGATCTGGCTACCGCACATAAGGAGAAAGATTCACTGGACAGCCGCAACATAGAAGAGAGATGCAGCACACAGGAAAATAACCCCTCTCTTTCTGCAGATGATAAGGGCCATGTTACTCCGCAGGTGCTAGAACAAGCAGTGATTGACGTCACGTCAACGGAGAACTGTCCGCGCGACCCTGACACGCGGAGTGAGGCCACGGAATCAGACCTGTCTGTCACCTCCAACAGTATAACAGCATTCGTGGAGCGAGATTCACCAAGTCAAGTGCCGTCGCTCCCCTCTCTTGAAGGGCAAAGTACCTTAGAATCGCCACTGACTGTGCAAAATGCAGCTGTTCTTCAAGATGGGAGCGCCACCTGCTTCTCTGAGGATTTCTTACCTGAAGAGGCCGTGGTGCTTCCAGATCACCCATGCCAGCCTACAAGCACAGACTCCTCTCCGCTCGGGCATAGCCTGTCCACAGTGTGTGACGTGCCAAAAAGCTCAATCGTGCCACGTGCCATCAGAGCATTTGCCCCTCTCCCTCTCCCGTTCCAAGACGGAAAGCGACGCCCTTCTAACGTGTCTCAGTACGATAATTTGTCTGAAGACGGAGAAGAGGAATCTCCTGTTCGGGTGCCCTGTTCTGAGGAACTGGCTGTTTTGTTATCACAAACGGAGCTCTGCGACCCGGTGTTAAAGTGCAGAGTGCACAAATCGGCATCTGCTGGAGAGCTGGGATACCCGCAGAGACAAACGGGGGGGCAGGCCGACTCGGAACAGCAGCCAGGAGGACTTGAGCGACCCCTTTCGTTCAACATACTGCCTCGTCAGAAGAGGCCCTCTAGTGGGGGCAGCATGCCAATCTTATCCGAGCTGGACTCTGGTGGATTGTTAGTGTCAGAAGATTTCTGTGCCCGGCCGACGTCATCCCCGGAATTACAGGAGCAGTACAGTCCCTTCAAGATAGTAAAAAGTAGCACCCCTCTTCACTTGGCTCATGCGACGGAGCAGGACTTCTGCAACAAAAAACAAATGGCTCTGCCTTTGCTAGAGTCCAGCCACCTCGATGCAGCTGGTGGGGAGACCCCTATTCCTCCAGCTGGAGAAGCTGAAGGTGGGACTGCTGGAGATTCTCTCCAGAAATCACTGAATGCTTTGAGTGACTCACTTGCTCCTCAATGGCCAAAGCCAAAATTGCCACTCAAGATTGTCAAAACCCATTCCGATAACAATTTCCATCTGAGCTGCCTCCCGACGGTGCAGATGTCTAAATCAGTGACCTTCTAGTAGAACTGAGAGAAGGGAGGGGGGTGGGGGTGGAATTACAGTGCTCTTTTCATGAGAGATCATGAGTCTTTTGGAATGAAAAAGTGCCGCCAAATGTAAGATGAGGGAGGCAATTGTGTCGCCAGTCAAGTTGAGTTCAAGAATTCGAGACAGGGCTCCGATACAGGCCAGTCTTCAATTGACAATGCCTGTAGATAATTATTTAAAAACTCGGTTTCTCCCCCTCCAGTCTCTTCTCAGTGTTTTTGAATCTGCCTTTCCTATCTCCTCTCTCATAACTGGATGGAAGTCTAACAGATTTAACATGTCAGAACATTCAGACTGTTTCCATCCAATCCGTTATAGCTTAAAAAGTAAATATCAACGTTGGAATAGTCAAAAAAACAGAAGGAATCGTTTGAGAAAACAGATGATGACTCATTTGCACATTTTGGCCAGTAGCACATTTTTCTGTAGCAATAGTTTTTTTTTTCCCCTTTGCAGCCAATGTAGTCCTGTAAATGAGGCTGTGGATTATTTACGTTGGGGCCACAAGCTCTCACTTAGCATCTATGCAATATCCAGCACACATTGCTAATGTGTGTTTCCATATGGCTCGCGTTTCTTATCCCTCCCCTCCTCTAATGAAACCAGACATTAAAATATACCTGCTCTAAGTTCTCAGGCTCCCTCACCCGTTTTCGATGATGAGGGGTATCAAAGACAAGTGACAAACCCATGCAAAGGAATGTTTTTTCCCCCCCCACCGTCAGTGGGACTCTGTAATATGTTACATAGGAAGCAAGGGCGGTTTCTGAGGGAAGCCACAGTAGAAGTATAGATTGTCTGCCTTTCATAAGCAGGTTTATGCCCATGTGCTAAATTCCCAGTGGTACGTTTGCTGTTGCTGATGCACTTGGAGTATATGCCTCCATAGAAAGGGGTAGCAATAGCAGATAGAAAAGTTGTGGTTGCCTGTGTGTTGTCTGTCCTTTCTTGTGTAGGTTCAAGGAAGTGGACTGTCTTTTCATCCAGCCAGTGACTTAAAAAGACACATCTGGGACACAAAAACTGCCCTGGCTGGTATTCTGCTGTAGCTGGTAAGCCCTAAAAGCATTACAGGATCAACGATATTACATCGTCACCATGCCCCGTCCAGCCCTGTAGAAAGTTTGTTGGGGATAATGGAAAAGAGGTAGCCCAATCTTTTGCACACTTATTCAGAAGGGAGCCCAGCTAAGTTCAGCGAGACTTACTCCCAACTCAACAGGCCTAGGATTGCGGCTTTGCGCTTGGATCCAGCAGAAAAGCTTGCAGAAGGAGCTGGCAGAGTGGATCTTTCCCCACCTTCCTCTTTCCCCAAACAGCCTGCTGTTTGTCCCAGACTACCTCTAGGGTGAGAGGGCCACCTGAATAAATGCACTACAGTAAAGGGTGCTGCAGCAACAGGGGCGAATCAGATAAAACTGCCACCACCACCTCCTCCTTCCTCTAGCGGTTTTCCTGAGAGGAACAGGGAAGAAGCAACAGTTTTACTGGACTCTCCGTTGTCACTGCAGTGCTTTGTGCTGTGGTACGTTTTGTTGACAGGGCTTTCCAAGACGCACACACCCGGGACTTTGAGAACAGATCATAGGCTGCCCTGGGGAAGGAGGAAGTGTGGAAAGATTTGCTCTGCAAACTGCTTTTGTGAACTTTTCCACCAGAGCCAGCCCTTAGCCTTTCTAGAGTCTTGATACCACTCCGTTATGGACTCAAGTCTGCTCTTGACAAAATGCACAGGGGCAAAGACTAAAATCCAAGCTTTGGAAGCTCGCCTTTTCTGTGCTTCATAAATGGGTTACGGAAACCTTGGCTTTAAAAAGGATATTAACCAAGGTGGTTCAGGAACAAATGTATCGCTACTGAGGTTTCCCAGCATTGAATCGATGCCGTGAAAAATGCAGCACTGTCGGCCCGTCAGTATTTACATCCTCATTTTGGGTGGGTTACCCAGTTCCTCTTCTGTCATCAAAAAAGGCGATGCCTCCCTTAAATAGCTGGGTAGTTTCCAAGTACAGGAATACTTAACACGTGGCTACACAGAAGCAGTTCCGCGAAATGGAATGGTTTTCAGTTTTTTAATGTTTTTGTCCAGAAGTGAGTGTGAGTTACAGAAATGCCGTCTGCAGCAGGCAATTGGAGTTCCCTTTCAGCATCCACAAGGGCAGGCAGATGCAAGCACGCCATTGGGAGGCAGGAACTGCTGTTCCTCACGCCAGCTTCATCTGTGGCCTTTAGGAAGTTGCATAACTGGTCCAGCTTTTCCTCTTGGTGGAAAGGGGGATAACACTGCTGAATCCTTGTCTGTTGTAAGGAGCAGGGTTTTTCTAGCCGTGTACTTGGAAGAGGACAAAGGAAAAATTGCTGCTAAATTATCGTGCTCAAGGGGGTGCGGCTTGTGCTTGAGTGTGTTAATTTTTCAGCTGTGGTTCATTGGTTAGGAAATTGTGTGTACGCGTGGGTGCGTGCAGATAATCTTTCCAGGATAGTATTTCAGAGGTGAAGAACCAGGGGCCTTCATTTTCAGTCATGTGCTCAGCGGCTTCTACAGCACAAGGAGAAGTGCTGGGAAAATACTTTAATTCAGCTGACATTTCCCTTAAAGTGCACAAAAACTCCTGCTCGCTTTAGTGGGAGTGAAGCTTAATGGTGGCAAGGAAAGGTCCGGTCTAGTCAATCACATTTTTTTCCCTACTAGCTTGACCCTTCCAAGTTCCTGTATTTTTGTGAGATCAGAGACTCCACGCTGTTAAGATAATCATGTAATTTGTTGTTGTTCTTTAAAGGTGCTCGGCCAGAAACTCTTTACAGCCGTCAAATGTATATCTAAGAAAGCACCTACAGGCCTTGAACTTATAAGGTGCCTTTTCGTACTCAAAGGATAGTTGTGAGGGTATGCCCTGAGTAACTAGCAGGTGAATCATGGACAGGAGAGGGATTCTGAGCCTCTGATAAGCTTTGCGACGTGGCACAATGCAGCTTCGCCGCTTCAATGAAGAATACCAGTGACAGAAAGGGTGCGTTCAGACAGCGTGGCCGAGCGGTTTAAACTACTCCGGTTCCAACTGGACTAATTTGATCCGGGGACAAGTGCGGTCACACGTACCTGTCTCACCACGCAGCACATCACTCCTGGGCGTCCACACTGTCCACAAACTTCAGGCGCACAGCAGCGGTTTTTTAAAATCATTGAGATCCTCGCACGTGCGCAGAAACCCTATCCCGAAAAGCATGCCCTGAAGCAAAGATTTCCCTTTAAACTTGAACACGAAACTGGCCTCTGTGAGGTCCCGGACTCGTCTAAAGCCTTAAACTAGGCACCGTCCCCGTCCCCCCTCCGTTTTATTAACGTCGGGGCGAAGCTTCACCCAAGCGCATATCGCCAAGGCTAAAAATAAAATGGAGGATGAAAAGCGGAAGCCTCGGGCTTCCAGCGGAAGTGGCTCTACACCGGCGGAGGCACAATCACATGGCAGGAAATTGTGGCTACAACCGGAGCACCAGGAAAACACAACTCGGGGACCTGGTAGCAGAACACTCCGGTTTAAAGGGGGTTTGCAACAGTTGGCAACGGCTAGGGATGGGAGGCAGATGTTTCTAACTGGCCCCTCTGAACGCACCCAGAAAGAGCAGCAGCAGAGTTCCACCTGGATTTCAGCTACCAGACAACATGGTGAGCTAGACCTGCTTAAAGCTCCAGTCAATCCTTCTATTGTATGTATTTCTTTTAGATTCATCCCCTTGTATACAAATCCAGGACATCTATGGCTTGATTCCTACTGTTTGGGGGGTGGGGGGGAGATCTTAGTATGTTGCCAAGATAGAGAGAGCTGCACCTAGAACACTGGTACTATCAAACCACCTGGTGATTTTCTGGAGCAAGGTACGCTTCAGAAAAAGATAGGTATGACTTCCCTGGCAATAAGACTTCCAGAACTGACTAGCAGTGATTATTATTAGTATTACCTATTTTTTTGCCAGTACCTACAAAGTCAGCAGTCAGAAATTAACCTCTGTATTGGACAATGACATCTGTTCTATAAAGTGTCAGTGAAGCTGCGAGATTTTTCACGTGACGTCTACAGTTTAGGAAGCCATTGCATCCCTGATCCATGTATATAGGTTGCACACTGTGTAATGTACTGTGAGAGGACATTTGGACATGGACAGTTGTGCAGGTGCTAGTTAAACCAGAATGAAATAGACAATAACGTTTTTTTTAGATGTGTTCAAAGTATTCCGTTTTCCCAGCCAGACTCTGAGGTTATGCTTCTGTTCTGCACACCCTTCTGTGTTCAGTGTGGCATTTTCTAGTGAAAGCTTGATGGAAGCAAATCCATATACTAACAGCTGTGGATGCCTTGACTGTGCTTTCCATCTGTTGTTCTCTGAGTCATAGTAAGGCCGTCTCTTTTTTGTCTGGGGACCTTATTACCGAGCCCACGTAAACACAAAGCTTTCCCTCCTCTACCAGTGCTGCCACCATCCACACCTGTTGAGCGGAACAACTTGAGGTTGTGACTGTAAACAGAAGGGCTGGAATGAGGATATAGTTCCTTCCTTCACCTTATCCAGGAGATCCCCTAGACTCTGGGACATCCCACTGCGGTGGTGTTGGAGCTGTTTCAAAATTAGGGATAGTCATAATAATTGGGGACAGAAAAGGGCCTGATTTGGCCCTCATGCCTGAAGTTCTCCAGCACTGGGGTGGTTTAGCATTGCATATTAGTAGAGAAAATTGTGTTCTGAGCAGAAATATACTGGTGCAAGAGAGCTCTAAAGCAGGCCAGAGTACTAAAGTATTCATGGGGGTGGTTTGGAGAATGAAGAGAGACAGCGAATAGGATGCAAGAGGAATTGACACCGTGCAACTGATATGGAAAAGGTGAGGTAGCAATGTTTCAACAGGAATGGTACAAAAAAAAGTATTTTCAAGTTCTTCCTTCTGGAGGTTCCCTTGTCAGGAGTGAGAAGAGTAGCAATTTTTGTTTAGTATTCTGGCAGTATTCTAGAACATTCTTTGTTCTAAAGAGCACTCTTTAGTGATGTCTGATTTAGACTTTCATAAAGTTAGTATCTTCTATGGTTGAAGAGCAATGCATTTACACATCTCCAGAGCAGAATTTGTTGCCATTGTTTCCAGTTCATGTTTCCTGTCTTTTGGTATATGACCACTGGTACCGTAAGGGGAGATGGG